TTGCTCATATTTGGGGTTGAAAAACCCGATAGTTGGTAATTATGGATGATCATGTCCAGTTTTCATGGATTATCTGAAAAATTGTAAAATGTACAACATGCGTTGATGTTTCAGTGTTCACTTATCGTACGTTGATTGCATTAATATGGGGATGATTTTGTGCACTCTGGATGAAGTCTAAAGTTTACCATCCGCCGTCGAGCCATTTCTATCGCACGTGCGTAATTTTATGAGGAATCACAATACGCCTATTCAGAGATATCGGCGTTAGATGCATGCAATCTGAGATCAAGCATGGATCTTCATGCATTTTTTATCTTTCTTTTGTGTAGGTGGAAACATCGACGATGGGGAAGCAGGTGGTTTTAAATCACTTGCTTTTTATTGGATTATCTGTGATGGTAGTCTGGCAGGCAAGGTGAGCGTTTCTAGTTTTATGTTGTATTTTTACTCTAGTGTGTATACTTCTGCTCTCCCACGAGAAATTACGCGTGGGCTGGACACCGGTCAGTGGTCAGTGATGCTAGCGTGCTGTTTGAGCTCTGCGAGGCGAGACACGGGGACGCGAGACCGGCGGTGGGTATTATGGTTGGGGTTGGATAACATTGGGTGGAATATTAAATGAAGCGTGGGCTGCATTTGGTGGAAAAGATTGAAACTCGTTGGAAAGGGCGCAAGGGACCGGCTCCTCTAGGTGGAGATAGCGCCCAACTTCATGGAGTTCGCATTACGGACTTCGAGATGTTGCACGGAATTATTGTGTGCAGGAGCCTCTCCTGTCCGTTTTCGAGCGCGTGTCCAGCATGACAAAACATGCAATCGCACTTTTTTTTTTTTTTTTTTTGGCACCGATGTCCCGTGCTTTTGCAAAAAAAAAAAAACGTTCTGTACAATTAATCATCACTGGTTCCCCAATTACAATCGGAGGGAAGCTCTTTTGGCACATAAAGCTTTTACAGTAAATTATCTTAGTACTGGGCAACGTGATGCAGCCATATAGGTGCACATCCATCCATCCTTTATTTCGACCTGCTTATTCTCGGTCAGTCAGGGCGGTAGGGACTGTAAGGCCTGGAGTTTATCTCAGTATACAATGCGTGACAGGCCGAAACACACCCTGGACAGTTTGCCAACCCATCGTAGTGCTCTGACTATTCATTCACTCTATAATACCCATCGGCAAATTAGAGCCTTCGTTTAGCCAGACATACATACGTGCAAGGCCATGGGTGGGAACTGAACCACCTGCAGAAAACACGCACAAGCATGAGGGGCACATGCAAAACCCGAGGCCGCATTCAAATTCACAACCCTTGCAGTGTGGTGACAGTGCTACCTCGCATATATTTGAAAGACTAAAATCTGGAATAATAATAAAATGGAATCCTTTTTTTTTTTTTAAAGCTAGCAAACTTCAGATTGCTTATTAAGAAATCCACGTTCTGTAAACTTTAAATCCCTCATTGTGATTTATTCCAAATAAGTAAATAAGACTAAAATGATAAATCCAGTGCTTCTGGCATATTAGGGCTGTTCCTGGATATGTGCTTTGCTCTGACAGGTGAGGGACTGTGTGGCGACTGAGACAAGCTGTGACCTTTAAAACAGACGTTAACTGAGGGGACGAGGATAAGCCATCCATCTCTCTTCACAGAGGGAATGCCCCACTCTGAGGGAATTGCCACGAAATACCTCATTGATCAATTTCAGCAACTCTGCTTTATCAATAGAAAAGCCTTCAGAAGCTGAAACCAGGATTCTAAACGAGTGTGTGCGCACACTAAAGGTCAAAAGTTCTAACACCTACAATTTTCTAGCACTCAGAGATGGATAAATGATGTCAAAATTCTATATTGATTTAAGTGGCCACCTTGTGCTTTTGTAACTGCTGAAGCAATTCAATGTTTGTTAGTTTTTTCCCTAAAAGGACAGTCATGTGTTTCTGAAGGTTAACACTGCTCTGGAAGTTCCCAAAGATACACTGCACTTTTGATTGGTTTCTTCTTGATTGCTCGGTCCAATGAGCAGCAATCTAGATTGATTTTACATCCTTTGTTAGAAATTGAAATAGGTTAACCTGTTCATTTGGAAATACAGATGTTTTTCTTGACTCCAAAATGTAGATCACCGTCTTAAATTCAAGATTAATTTTTATTTTTTTTATTAATATCTTGCATTTAGCCAAATACGTTTATTTACATCAATTTCACTTAACTGCTGTGACTTGACCGGGATGACCACTCAGGAATCTGTTGAGTGGGTGTGACCTCTTAGTTCCTGCATTATAAAATGTATCCTTGAGTTGTGCATCTGCTAATGTTAATATTAGTGCCTTTGACCTCCTTCTTCCTCAACTCAGATCGAAAGCGGACGAGACGGCCGCAAAAGCCGTCCAGAACAACATCACCCTCTTCACCAGGATACTGGACAGTCTCTTGGACGGCTATGATAACCGGCTTCGACCAGGACTTGGAGGTTAGCACGTCCTGTGGCCGTTCAGAGAATCTGGCGCAAGTGCCTCAGTTTTCTGTCTGCAGATCCTTAGCTGTTACTCTGGAGTTCATGTACCATGAAATGTTTGCAATGTTAATCTCGCTCCGTAGCATTGACACGGCAAGCTAATGCTACTCCGCACATGTAAAAACATTGGCAAGGCTAATGCTATTAATGCACCTTTGAAGACCTAGCCGGTCTGAAGCTGCCTAGTACTTGTGAAACCTCAGCCATGCTAAAAATGCTAATATACCTGCGGAACATTGACCTTACTTACGCTGCTCTTACCTGTGAAACATTTGTGGTGCTAATACCGCTCTTCAGCTCTGACATGTTAGTCAAGCTAATGGCGCTCTGCACCTATGAAACATTAGCAAGGCTAATGCTATTGATGCACCTGTGAAGCATTGGCCTCATTGAAGCTGCTCAGCACCTCTGAAACATTAGCAATGCAAATAGTGCTAATGCGCCAGTGGGACACTGACCTTGCAAAACATGAGCAATGCTAGTGTGGCTGTGCATCTTTGAAACATTAGCCATGCCAGCTTGCTCCACCTAGGTGCGTCCAATAGCCGTGCTAACCATTCTGAAGTGCTACAAAAGCATCAAAGTGCAGATGGTATCTTCCCAATACATTTGTCATAGTGGTATCAATTCACTTTATGATCTCATAAAGTCATTGCACTAGTGCGGTACTGACTTGGGGGTTGCAACATAGTTCTTGTACTCGGACGGGATTTATCTATATTTTGATATGCACTTCCGGAATTTTCCCCACCAGTTCCTTCAGTCTCTGTATAATCATTCCTCAGCCTTGTTTCAGAATATCCACTCCATACTCTCATTTTGCCATTGCAAGGGAAACATTAGTGCATTGAATAGGCTGTGGTCAATTGAGTTGAAAGCTTTTCCCTCTCAAACCTCAGTAGCAAAACTCCCTGTAGAGGATGTGACTGCGAACCAAAAGTATGCGAGCCAGTGCTTGAATAGATAAGGCGAAAGGAGTGGTGGAATATTTCCAATGAACCGTATCTGTGCTTGCAAGTTGTTTAGAGAAACCCCAGAAATATCCATCGCTACTGCCCCTGTTCTGTTTTTACCCCGTCTGAAGGGGCTGGGGTATTATTTTCAGTGGTCTTTGTTTGTCTGTCTGTGTCTGTCAGCATTTTAGCGCAAAACATGGTTTTGAACAAATCACAAAAAAATGTAAGGACATACAAAGGTCTAAGGATCACCTAATTAAATTTTGGATTGACTCAGGTCACTGAAGAATCAAGAATTGTAAAAAAAAAAAAAAGTCTCTGAAGTGGGCATGTTGTGCTTGAGACCACTTGTACTGTCAATTCAAATTGCTCATTGAGTAATCTCCAAAAAAGTCTTGAAGGGGCTTGAGATTAGTCATAACTAATGCATGGATAACAATTTAAAATAAGGATACATCAAACAACATTAGTTAATACAGTAATACCCAGTTAGTTAACAATTAATGATGTGTCTAGTAATCATTTACTGATGGTGTCCAAGTTAACTAAGTTATTGATTTATACATTATTGCACAGTTTAATATTTTGACGTGTCACCTGAGAGATAGCTAAGGGATGTTTCCAACTTGACAATAAGGGTGACGAAGACCATAAATAAATGGATAATTACAGTTAAATTATGCCTTACAGCACTATGATGCATTAGTTGACTGTAAATTAACTGTTAGTGAATGCTAATTACTACATTAACTAATGTATCCTGACTCCAAAGTGCCACTAATGTGTGCTATAGGTGTTTAACTTAGGCTCTTGCTCACTTTGATTAGTGAACGAGTGAGTCGCAGATTGAAGAGAGGTGGGAGAATAGATTGAGGAAGAGGATGAGTAGGACGAAGACGACCCGAGTAGGCCCAACAGCACATGCGGGGAGGAAGGGAGGTTGCCTGCACTATCGATAGATGAAGATATTTAAGCCCATTTAGCAGTATTTTTTCTTTTGCACATTGCACACTACCTGCTGGTTTACTTTTCTGATACAACAGTCGCGTACAATGTAGTTGATTCCGTTCTTGCTGAAGCAAGGCAAAAACCTTGCATTGGATTGTGGGAAAAATTAGTACATGGGGAGATCGATAATTCATCACCCGACATTTCATGCATAATTGAAAATGGAAAATGTTTATACCGACGGCGATTGCACTGTGGAAAACAGTGCCCATCTCACAGAGTGGGGCCTGTGGCTATTCAATGGACTCAATTACCCAACATTCCATAGTTTCTGACATTCCAGGATTTCAGACTGGGTGTCTTTTATCCATCCATCCATTCATTGTCTATACCGCTTCTTCCTTACTAGGGTTGCGGGGGAGCTGGAGTCTATTCCAGCTGATGATGGACGAAAGGCAGGGATCCACCCTGGACAGCTCACCAATCCATCTCAGGGGTGTGTTTTTTCGCAAGGAAAATATTCAGTCTGTTAAAGAGAATAGGATCATCAACATTTGATGACAATTGTAATGGGATGGCATCGCGGTGCAGTGGTTAGCTCTTCCGCCTCACAGCAAGAAGGTCGTGGGTTCGAATCCGGCCTGAGGCCTTTCTGTGTTTGCATGTGCTCCCTGTGCTCGCATGGGTTTCCTCTCACAGTGCAAAGCCATGCGCGTCAGGCTAATTGGAGACATGGAATTGCCCATTGGTATGAGTGAGAGAATGAATGGTGTGTGTGCCCTGTGATGGATTGGTAAGCTGTCCAGGGTGGGTCCCTGCTGTTTGCCCATAGTCAGCTGGGATGGGCTCTAGCTCCCCTGTGACCCGTGAGGAGGAAACGGTATAGAGAGCGGATGGATGGATGTGATTGTGTCAATCATTTCCTGTTTGTTCACATTAAAGGCAGAAGTCAGACACAGATTAAGGTTAGTCCTGGACTAAACTGAATTTTCAAAACAAACTTGAGTTTAGAATTAAACTTAATTTTTGCCCAAGTATCCAAACTCTGAAAGAAAAATGACTTAGGCATTTTCCTCAGTGATTTAAGATCTTCTCCAGCAATTAATCTTCAGTGAACTGTGCCAATGAATTTTGATTAGCGCACAAATTAGAATGTGCCCGAGTTATCATTTGCTGGCAGATGAATAAAAGTATGTTTATTTGACTTTCTTGCCACTGAAGTAAACTCGTACTTGTCAGCAGGTCTGGTTGAATGGGGCTCAATTTGAGAGAGGTTGGGTGAACAGACTTATGGGTAAATATTGGTTGAGTAAACATGACTTAAATGAGGATTGACTCTTTCAACTCTGCTTAATCTAACAGTGTTTTAAGAGGAGCCTGTTCTGTCTGGAATTATTCAACCCCCTTGTTTTTTTTTTTTTTTATTTCGTTACCTGCAGCTGAGTTATTCTTTGTTTTCTGATCCTGTTCGATCCTCTCTTTTCTGTGGGGATGACTGCAGTCTGTGTCAACATAAATGTGGCTTGCGGCTATTGACCCAGTATGAAGAAGGTTCGCAATTTATCTCGTAGCGATTTAACGGTTTCATCAATCAGTGCCCATCTCCATTACATGGATTCCTTTGGAGTTCTCATGGTTGCGTTGGAGCCTCGAGGCTGCATTGGAATTCTGCGTTGATTAGTCCAGAGTAGTGCATATCTCCGGTGTCCTGCCATTCATGAATTATGCAAACTTGCACAATGACGCCCGTATCTGAGGCGTTTTGCACATTTCACCCACAGGACACAGAGAGTCACAGTTGCAGTAGTCGTCCAGTGGGAGCAGAGGTTAGGGAGCTTCAGCCAATGAGAGCAGGGTTGTATCTCTGGTTGTGGACACCTGTTACTCTAGGGGGAAATGTAGGCGTGTGCGTGGGTAATTACACCAGCGATAACTCAGGGAAAACGGGCCAGATTCCACCCAGGCTGTTCCACAATGCCTGTCTTGTTCATCGTATTTCCTGGAGACGTAGCAGAGGTGTGCGACCTGTTTATCTACGAGGAGAGCAAGCACCTGTTCGTGGTGATAAAGAGTCTGCAGGATCGAGCACGAACTCACATAAATTATTAGAAAATAGCGGTGGAAAAATAATCAGGATTGTGGGCGGCCAGTCGGTAATTTTATTGCGCTTTTTTTTTTTTTAAAAGATCCTGGCATTTCTCTGCTGAAATTTCTCTGTGTCTCCCTGGACTGAGTGATTATCTTCAGGGTGTGCTACCTGCAAAGTTTTATCTAAATGTTGGAGAAAAAATAATAATAACTTACAGCTGGGGCTGAGGATAGAACAGTGTTGTGTGACTTCCCCCACCAGAGTGTTGACTCCGTTTTCCTTTGAAACTTTTCTCTTCGGGGTCCTGTGTGAAAATATTCATAGATAGTTGTGCGATAAAATTCATAGATGGCGCCGTGCTCGTGGCGGCCTGCAGTACCTTTTCCCGGCATCTTACAGTTAGTCAGTGTAATATTGTACATCATTGTATGTCAGAAGCTGTCATTACGATCCGTTTTCCTGTTAGGGATCAATAAAATAATCACACATCCATCCATCCACCAACAGTAAAATGTGCATACAGTATACCACTGCAGTGCTTCAGCTACGGGGGTAAATGTTGGGCTGGAATCTTTGGCCCCGTAGTTGGAAAGGGGCCCCATAAATGCCAGCTGCATGTTCACAGTTAAGAGGGGGCCAGAGTAAAACTCCCGAGAGGATAATAAAAGATTAACGCAGATGTGGGGCCCTTAAACAAGGCCCTCATCACACCACAGGTGCCGTCATTCTTCCTGTTTGTGTACTGCTCGGTGTGTCAGTCAACGCTAAAGGCCACCCTGTGAGATACAAGTCATTAGTGTGCTGCAAAAGCAGGAGGGCCATGTGTTGAGCAGACTGCAGAGTTTGCTTCTGTTTTTGTGGACAGATCTTGGTGTCATCTGTTCACGAGACATTTTACAGAACTCGGTAAGCCAGTTTATAGTAGTTTTTAGCGGGCTGTCATTAGTGAGGCTCTTGTGCCATGGGGGACTGGGCAAATTTGAATGGCAATTGGCTTTTGTAAGAAGGGTCTGTGAAATAACTGTCTACAAGAGGGTGTGGAATTCCTAGCTGTGCCCCTTTACTGTCCGAGGGTTTTGGAAGTTCTGTTTTTTCTGGGCTGAGAGCCAATCACGAAACGACTGCTTCAGTTCCTGGGCAGATATCCAAAGTCGGAATGTGCAGCCATTTCAGTGCAGGTTCCACTGGAATAAACCAACAATATTTCAAAGAAATTACAGCCGCGCAAGTCAGTGTGCTTTTAATGCCAACTGCTTAGAAAATAAATTATGACAAAGATTAGAACACAAGACTACCATAGAACCACTGTTTAATTGAGCGCTTTGTCCTTGGAAGAAAGCATTGAAACAACTGAAGGTCATGTTTGTACTGACAATGAATCCCTCGAGCGACTTAATCAGCCTGAAAATAAACACAATGATTAAATACATAGAATAAAAGCAAATAAATATTCATGCTGAATTTTAAATGAGGTTTCTATACACCCGCCACTGTTTTTTTTTTTAAATCCAGAAATAATGACATACAACCAATGTTACTGTTCCAGTGTCCATCAAGAATCTATTATTGTTTGGTTTAAATCATACCAGGGTTGTTAGGTTAGATTTTTGTCTGAGCCCTTAAAAATAACTGTATTTCCGAAAGTGTGTGTGAGCAGTGCTTAGGTAAGTTATCCCTGTCCTCAGGAGAACTGGTGTAAAAGTGAAGTGTTACATGTCTCGATGATTTAAACCCACGATGGCATTTTCACTGCGCCTTGTGTTCGGGCTGCAAACTCTTGACAAGGCAATTAAATCAAATGAAGACGTCCCTGCCTCTTTTACTGTATAACTGCGCATTTAAAGCTATTCCTTTCAGTTTCCCCTAAGCACCACTGATAATTTTCTCTTAAGTCAAGTACAAATGTCCTTCTGACTTTTCCCTGCAAAAAAATATGCTTGATCAATTTTTCTTTCAGTGACTTCTGTCAGGCAAAGACACCACAAACAGCGAATTTCAGAGAATACACTCAACAGTTTCTGAAGTCAGTAACAAGTTGTTAGAACATGGTGATCAAATGACTGCTAGCTAAAAGCACCTTAATTGGCGTACAGAGTTCTGGAAAATGTCTGGCGTGCAGATGACATCAAGATCTGTCCACAACACCAGAATCAAGACTCTGCAGTGGTCTAGACATTTCATACCGAGCCGTAATCTGGCCATCCTCTTGTGATTTATATCGCACATTGTGGCCGCTGTATTTACTGATACGCTAATGCAGAAAACAAATAAACAAACTAATAAAACCCATAAATATTGACAGCTTTGCCACTTATGGCTGCACTTGTTTTGATTGCTGCATCTGTCAGTTTGCCGGTGCTATAAACGTATTGATTTATATTGGCTGGGAAAACCCTCAATTACCGGTATTTGCATTGCCAGTGATAGCACTGAATTACTTAGCAAAATATGGGCTTTAAGAAAACATTAAAATTGCTCAGTTCTGTATGAATTAGCACCTCATTAAAGACTCAAACATTAACATGCACTTATGTTTTTGAAATTAAATCAAATGCAATGCCTGCGGTTTGCTCATCAGGGGGAATCTTGTGAGTCTAGTTGTTACTGTAGCATCCATATTTCTGTATGTGTGTGCTCTGTTTCTGGTTTGGGAGGATGAACATGTGTGTGCTGCTGTGACTGTGATTGCTTGTGCGCGCATGCGTGTGTGTGTGTGTGTGTGTGTGTGTGTGTGTGTGTGTGTGTGTGTGGGTCTGTGCACGCAAATGTATGATTATGTGTGCACAAGCGTGTTTCTGCCTGCAGATTTGTGCAGATGTGATTGTGTTACACTGTGAGAGTGTGTGTGTGTCTGTGTCTGTCTCTATGAGTGTGTGAGAGAGAGTACACACTCTTGAGAGTACATGATCCTGTCCGTGCTATGTTGTGTATAACATCAAATCAACCCCTGAAAATCAGGGTCCAAAGCTGTCTGTTTCTCTGGGTGTTTTCCCTGAAAATCAGGGCCCAAAGCTGCATGTTTCTCTGGGTGTTTTTTCCTGAAAATCAGGGCCCAAAGCTGCCTGTTTCTCTGGGTGTTTTTCCCTGACTTCAGGGCATAATTCTGCTTGTTTTTCTGGGTGTTTTTCACTGAAATTCAGGGCCCAAAGCTGTTTCTCTGGGTGTTTTCCACTGAAAATCAGGGCCCAAAGCTGCCTGATTCTCTGGGTGTTTTTCCCTGAAATTCAGGGCCTAATACTGCCTGTTTCTCTGAGTGTTTTCCCCTGAAAATCAGGGTCCAAAGCTGCCTGATTCTCTGGGTGTTTTTCCATGAAATTCAGGGCTTAATGCTGCCTGTTTCTCTGGGTGTTTTTCCCTGAAAATCAGGGCATAATTCTGCCTGTTTCTCTGAGTGCTTCTCCCTGAAAATCAGGGTCTAAAGCTGCCTGTTTCTCTGGGTGTTTTCCCTGAAAATCAGGGCCCAAAGCTGCCTGTTTCTCTGGGTGTTTTTTCCTGAAATTCAGGGCCCAAAGCTGCCTGTTTCTCTGAGTGTTTTCCTCTGAAAATCAGGGTCCAAAGCTG